CGAAAAAATCGCGAAAAAACCGGCATGGAGTCCCCTTAGGGACGAGTTTTTTGCTCAAAAGGGCATAATGACGCCCTTCGAGCAAAAATAGCAAAAATGCCAAAAACCTTGCTTTTCGGCAAAGGTGCCGAAAAGCAAAAACCGGCCCTTTTCGAAAAGTGCCAGTTGGGGCAACGTTCTCAAAGAAAACTCCAGAGCTGTACTTAGGCCGGCTATTACAACTTAGTGTGTAGCCCAAATCGCGCCACTGCAAGCGGCCTAGTACAGCAGAACGACGCATTCCAAAACAGCGAAACCTAGCTAGCGTATGCTTTTTATCCATGAGAGTCAAGCAATTTACTGTTCTGTTATTCAACTTATAAGAGTGCTACTTCACTCAACCATTCCCAAATATCCCTTTACTAACAATAAGTGCGCTCAACAAAAATAGGTTGGTACCTTCTCGGAGCGAGCTAAAACGATCTAGATTAATTACACTGCTCATTGGGCGCAACTAAAGACAAGTAGCTTGTTGGAAATACTGTACATCGGAAAGTGCAAATGGGTTTTTTTGAGGGATGACTTCTCCGGCAACAAAGAGAAAATCTTTGCGTTAAAGGCGCTACACGATTATGTGAGAAATGAATCCTTGTCATAAGAGAGATTTACAGATTGTACAGGAGTTACGGGGTTCCGCAGCGAGCATCATGAAAGGCAATTTGCCTAGCATGATGCTCGCTGTGGAACTGAGTGCGAAGAAAAGGCCGAGTGTAAGGAAAAACCGACCATCCAAATAAGGTGTACCTTGCGATGCGGCAGGTTGCCCCTGCTTGCTCCGCCGGTAGTACATGGTTTTTGTACTCCTTAGAGACTATGGTACCAAAATCTCGGGTAGGAGCCGTACCACCCGAGACGCGAGTATTGCCATGACTCTATCTCCACCTTACTGAAGTCTTTTCTTGGCTTGTTCAATACTTCAATTAACTATCAATGTACAGTCCATGCTCCCTGCAAACGATGGGGCAGGTGATGGGGCATGGGCTGACGGGTGCCAAGAAAGGGGGGTGTGTAGCAACAGAATCGTCCGGTGCAGCTGGTGAGCGTGGCCTGCGACATCCGTGCGGCGAGCAGGGCACGCCATCGCGTTGTGATCATTTCCCGCTAAATACGACCCCCCTCCCCGAAAAATAAGGGTCTTAATACGACCCCCCCCTGTCACGAGGGTACAAATGAAAAGAAGCGCAAAAGGGACAAAGAAAATGACAAGAAAGAGAACTAGGCGCTATTGAACTATTCCTACGCCAAAAACTCAAAAAAAATTCATGCTGAAACTTTATCTGTAGATGTTATCCGATGTCCTGATCACCAATATGACATCATCCTACTTTATATTAGGTTGTCCCCAAAAGTTCCTGAGGAACACTTTTTGAATCTCGTATCAGATTTTTCCGCAGCCATTTCGAGATCCAGTTATGTGGTCTATGGGAAGTGTGTGAGGTAAGCATTCCACAGCTTCTTCACCGTCCCTCGCAGTCGCTGTTCTCATATGAAAAACGGTAATTGAAATTCATCATTTTCGACACACTTCGCTATATGGATCTCTACCAAGCCACAACGTGGTTCGAGCCATAAGCGGCATTTCCCTTATTTAGATCTTGATGTTAGCTTCCACAGTACGGCTTTGGAATGGCTCAATTGCTTCTGCTTTAGTGACTTCTATCCGGGCTGTCAGAAGTTGAAAAAACTCTCGTTCCAAGGGACGGCCACCTGCCTTGGATATTGGACCTACTGATGTTCTTGATTTTAAAACCATTTACGTACAAATCAACTTGCTATCTATTCCTTACACTTGACTGGTCCCAAAGCACAAATGAGAGAAGGCCTCGCTCCCTTAGAAAAGTTATGAAGTTCGATCAAAATTTTTCTCATGAGTTGACCAGTACTCCAAGGGGAGCACATGTGGGTACTGTCTACAACTTCTCTCCCTCTTCCGCTGTACAGGCTGGTTGAACAGCACTGTAACTGGATATGGAGTGGGTGCCTCTAGTTGAATCACTCCTGGGAGCGCCAGCGGCTAGATCCCCAGAAAGGGCAGAACCGATCGCGCAATCCTATCAATCCAGTAGGGCGGTGAGGCTGTGTATGTGGTGGGGTACCTTCTCCGCTCTCGAAACGGAATTCCCTCCTTCCAACGCTATGGTAACCAGGGAGGTGCCCTATTGTAATCAACTGCAAAGTGGGCGTGGGGAAATCATCTACCATTTGCGTCCCAAAAACCGAGCATTTGTTTGCCTCTACTCCACCACACTCCGGGTGTCAAACATTTTGGGGGGGGGAAAACGACACTGCTCGAGATCCCGAAGCTTAGCTGGGGAATTCCACCACAGTCTTCGTGTAGCCCTGACTTAGCTCTTTCCGACAACCATCCAAACTAATCCCACAGCGGCCATCTTCTTGGTAAAAAAAATACGATTTTTGATAGTACCTCGAAAATGACCCAGCTGCCTTTCTGGCCACAGAACTAAGAGGCTTCTGGAAGCAGGGCAACCACACATTGCGTAGTGATTGGCAACAAGTTGCCAATGAAGGTGACATACATATAGCTGATCAAAATTGCTTCCCACTGGAATAAACTTAATTCGGAAAAAAGTCTGAAAGTGTCCCAGAACTTTTGGGACAACCTAATATAATCCGCTATGTCTGTTTGTTTGTTTGTTTGTTTGTGAGTTTGTAAGTTTGATCAGCTATATGTATGTCACCTTCATTGGCAACATGTTGCCAAT